GTTGTGTTTGTGGTTATGTGTTTTTGGTTGTGTGTTTGTGGTTGTGTGTTTGTGGTTATGTGTTTGTGGTTGTGTGTTTGTGGTTGTGTTTGTGGTTATGTGTTTGTGGTTGTGTGTTTGTGATTGTGGTTGTGGTTGTGTGCTGTGGTTGAGGTCCAGCAGGGAACACTTGGGCCTGGAGCTCGCAGTTGAGGTCCAGCAGGGAACACTGGGCGTGGATGGTCGTGGTTGAGGTCCGGCAGGGAACACTGGGCGTGGATGGTCGTGGTTGAGGTCCGGCGGAGGAGGACGAGGAGGCGAAGGAGGATGAGGAGGAGGAGATGGGGCTGACGTAAAGTCTGACAACCCTCACCTGACAGGTGGGGAAAAACATTCTATTTGACAAATTTAGCTTAAGGGTTATCTAAAGTGGGTCTTAAAAGTAACTGAGGGCAGCGACAGATTTGCAAACGAGTCAAATTAGCTAGCCAATTTAACCAGTCACGACAGAAAGTGTTTTAGATTAAAGACCTTTGGTGTGTGTGAAAAGTAATATTATACAACCAATTTCTGGGTAAAATGGAGGGGTAGTCGGTAGCAACGGGATGTAATTCCTATTTGATTAGTGACTCACAGTAACTCACATATACAGGCACATGTGTGTATACATACATACATAAATACATACATATGTATAGGCAGGTGTTAGATTCCACTTGACATCACTTGGTGTTCTTTGAAAAATGTCATTTCAGTCAGACTGAAGGACGGGACTTTTCGGGTCGCCACCGGTCTCCACCGGGTTTACCACGGGTCACCTCAGGCGCCCAGGGATCCCCTGGGGATGATCGAAGTGGAGTCCTCCGCCTCCTCGGGCCGCAGAAGGTGGGGGTTCCGACCGAAGTGGCGTGCCGAAGAAGCTGTTCAGAACGTGCGTGATTTTTCTTTGGGGGGAGAAATGGAGGCCGAGGTGGTTTATTTAGGATCCATTTGCAACTCAATGAACTGTGTAGTTATATATGTATAGTATATAAGAGATCAAGAAATGGTTTTTTGGGGCTTGGTTGGGCCAGGTGCCGTTTGGTTGTTTTTGTTGTTTGCTCCGTGCGGGCAGGATCTTAATTTGCTGGGTGGTGCTTCAAATGGACTGAAAAGGTCTGAAACGCAGCATGTTCTTCGGGGTTTGGACATTTGACTGGTGATTTTTGAAGTGACTTGCTATGTGTTCGCCCTTTACCCTGACAGAGCAACTGCGTTTCCTTGTGTATTTTTAGGGGGAGGAAGTACCTCCGCCCCTTTGCCCCCCAGAGTTCCCGGCCCGTTGTTTTGAAAGGTTCATGATGGTTGTATCTTAACTTAATTAATTGACAGTGGCTGTCATTTAGATTGAATTTTTGGCGACGTTGACACATCCGAAGACCTAACAGTTTGACATAGACAGTTGCGGAACAATGATTCAGTGATGTTTGGACGATTGGAAGAGTGTTGAAGATCATGCCAATTCCAAGTCCACGCGGCTTTGTTTTTGGGAGAAAAGCACAGACCCCAATGAGGTGGGTTTCTCAATGTGTTTTGGCTCTTCTTTCTCCAGGTGAACCTGAAGTGACATGGTGCATGGAAGGAGAGAAGCGGACACATTTGTTAAATATTGAAGGGAGAGGCAGTTGAGGGTCTAAGAGCCTAAGTTTGCACAAGGGCAATAAGCAGGGAAGAGCCACGATGAACTACGGTCGAATATACAAGCAGGTCTCCTGGTTTCCCCAATCTAGATCTTAAGCTGTCTCAAGCCGGCAGCTTGGGCAATGGCAGAATCCCAATATTCCCCCGATGGGATCCCCTAGACCGTCCCAGACGTTGGGATGTTCCATCTTTGATATACCCAGTAACCTAAGAGCGATGGCCTCCACCGGAGAGATGGTCTACCCGATCGTTTGGCGTCGACGAGTCGACTCCTTCGGAAGCGACGGGCGCCCAGAGCATCACCCGGACCCGGTAGCTCAGATTCACAGGCCAGAGAAACAAACCTGCAATGGTGGAAAGATGTGATGGGAGTGAAACGGTGTCAAGTGTAATCCCACAAATGGAGCCTCAAAGCATACAAGAATCTATGACAACGTCAACCCATCCTTTGAGAACTTGAGAAAGAGTGCCGTTCTTCTGCCAGGCATGCCAGATCACCATCGTTGACTTCCAATTCCGATGGGCCAGGGCGTCGTCGGAGGGGAAGCGCGACCCAGAGGGGGTCCCAAGCAGAGCCTAAAACTGACGGCTGGGCCCCCATTGCACGGGGCTTGGTCTGATGATTCTCAAGAAAAGATTGTGTACAAAAAAATTGCATTGGTTATCCCAAAATGCTTTTAAAAAAAGCAAGGTTGGTCTAATAAAGACTCAAATGCAACGGTATGGGTTTTCGCATGTGGGCCACAGAACGGCTGGAGCTCCTTGAAGGGGCGGGCCGAGCGGACGAGACTGGACACGCCGGAGATAGGAGGGTTTTCCCGAATGAGAGGCCAAACGACAGGATAGGACATGAAATGATAGGAATGTCACCTTAGTTACATGAATTGAAGCCTGGATGTCTTTACATTCTTTCACCTTGATGGACAGTTTCTTGCAAGGAGCTCCAAGGTGACACTGGTCCCCCTCAGAGCATTTTCCGCGGAATCATGAATGCCCTCGGAAGTAACAAACCCTCTGCCGAATCGATTTGGTCAGGCTGACCCCTGGAATACTAAATACCTTTGATTTGCCTCGTATGCCTCAGCATTTGTTATTTGTCTCCCTGTCACTGTCTCAAAGTTTTAGTTTCCCAAGTCAAGCATGCTACAAAATGCAATTGCCTTTCACCCACACCTTCCCCTTATTTAAAAAAGACAACCCTTGTGCTGGCTTATTGTTTGCTTACAGTATTCCATTGGGCAGCTGCTCGTTCGGAGAGCTTCACTTGATAGGGCGCCAACATGGCTGGATGTCCGCTGTTTGAAGAGCCACATTGTTGGGGGAAGGTTGGTCAACCTTTGGCTCAAAATCTGGTCGACGGGTTGTCATCCGGTGTTGGCATCAGGTCGGGAAGAATGGTTTCTAGGCCACTTAAGCCAATAAAAGAAGCTTTGCTTTGTGCCAGCATGTGCCAGCCATGTTTTCCTACCCCTGTTTCTTACAATGCTGTGACCCTCATAGAAACGGTTCGGTTTCGTTTGGGGAAATCCAGTACGCCAGTACAGGGCCTCACAAAACTTTCACCGGCTATCGCAACATATCAGAACCATATATACTGCAATGGAACATGTGCCAATCACATTCTCGGGCTGGAAGTCCTTTTGCAAAAACCATGCGTATACTATGTATTACATTGTATTACTATATATACTAGCGTATGCTAGCGTTTCCCACACCCCAAGCAAGATGCAGGCTGGACTGGATGTGTTTGTTTATGTATGTATTCTATGTATACATGTGTGAGCCTCAAACTCATTTTGAAATGCTGCTTGTCTATATGTTCACCTCAGAAGTCATTCATTGATTCATTAATCTTAAACACCTGAAAGCTCCGCTGAAGATTGCACTGTTCGAACAATTGACAATTGGACACATGAGATAGGACATGATCATGATAGGAACAACGTCTCAGCTTTTCACAATTCCTGAGACCAGATTCGGTGCGTCCCCACATGTGGTCCCAGAGCCTGACATGAGGGTCCTGGTTTGTCCTGGTTTTTGAACATATGCCCTCGGTCCATTGGTTCTCAGCTCTCCGCCCTCCAGGATGGGCTCGGACAACGATCCCGAGGACGGGGTGGAGCAGGGCCAGTGGAGCTTGTAGGGCAAGGCGCGTCTTCGAGAGAACACACACATAGTATTCTACACAATCTAACGCGTTTTAATAACAACACTTGTAATATACATATATATTATATAGAGAGAGGGAGACATGCAGGAACATTTGGTTACAATGATGACCAAAACAACATGTTTTTGCACATATCATACATATAGTCAAGGACAACCACTAGGCAGAAAGGCTTTGAGGGCAAACAAGTAGCAGATGCCAGATTGAGGGGGGGCCCAGGATGGACCCCAACATGGGCCTTTTCATGATTCCTCTCTGCTTACTGGGGGGTCCACATGGTATGTTTTTTTTGTGTGGTTCCACTCTGCTTACTGGGTTGCGTTGCAACTGCAAAAAATAGAGCACACACACAGCCACGTGTATTTTCTGTCTCCCTGCTTTCGCCATGTTTGTGGCCTTAATATTGGCCCTGTACTCCATGCAAATTGCCAGAACCCTGCACCAACCATGGGGCCAAAGCCAGCGTTGGGGCGGCAACACAAACTAAATTCTAGCACTCAAAAACTTGTACATGCAGATTACCTGCAAATTGGCTGGAATCTCTCGGGGCGGCAAAGACTAAGACTACTTCGAGTCCAAATCAAAGCCCAACTTCACAACCAAGGCTCCCTTTAAGGAAGTCACTCGCTCCGAACAAATGGGGCATCCCGGGTTTTTGGCGGAATGCTGCTGCCAAACCCACAGCAGACACCGCAGGAGTGCCTCAGATGATGAAACAAAGCCCTTCTTCAGGTGCCCAAAAGATCGGGCAACGGAGGCTTGTCCATCTGCAGGATAACGAATCTGCCAGCACTTTGTGGTGGCATGTATGCCGATGCCTACTCCTGGACAATTGGGCAACATGGTGAGACCAATTTTGCTCAGAAATGCAAAGGCTGGGACATTCTCGAAAGTCGTAAGCTTGGGTCCAGAGATTGCAACCGCAACTTCACTGGCCGGCTCAGACCCCTTGTCTTTCTCCTCAATCTCAGCGGGCACCTCGAAGACATGCCCACCATCTGGGAACTCCCAAACGAAACTCTCGCCCTCGGAGCCTTCATCTTCACTCCCTTGCTCCGCCTCGCTGTGCATATGCTCATCTCCTTGATCAATGTTCTCATGTGCACCTTCGTCACCATCTTGGTACTCAGCCATAGCCGCCTGCAGCATTCCAATAACCCTCTAAGCAGACACCCGTTCTCTGCTTACTGCTGTATCCCATCCTATAGAATTTTTCCAAACACCCGGCTCCCTGCTCTCCGCAAAGAAAGAACACGGGAAATATATGAGCGTCTCCAAAACAATCGCCAGGTGAAACAAAATGACTGCATAAAATATATTTCAAGGAACAACACACACACAGATATATATATATATATGTATATACACCCATATAAAGGAAGGAAGGAAGGAAGGAAGGAAGGAAGGAAGGAGAAAAGGAAGGAGAACATCGCTTCCTTGCAGCTGTAACCCCTTGGACCCCCTACTGTACCTCCACCTCTCCCAAAACAAAATGTCAGAATGAACACATGGGGGGCCGCTCTTCAATGTCCTATTAGCAGAAGCACGCCATCTGCTTACTGCATTAGGTCGACAGTTCTGGCCTCTGCACCCAAATCCTCTGCTTTGTCTTCAGCTAGCTCAGCCAGTTGATGCTCAGTATCATCCTGATCATCACCGGGTTCTTCAACATCCTGCTGAGCTCCACCTCCAGCATTAGGTTTGGGAAGATTTGACTCCCCCAAGACCTTGGAAGACTGAAGCGACAGTGCAGTGAGATGGACTCGGATTTCCTGAATTTCTCTGGACCGGCCGGTGGCTGAAACCAGTCTCAACTGTCGTGTCTGCTCCTGGTTGTCTGGAAAAAGCTCAGTTAAGGTCATGGTTTTGATGTCCAATTTGAACGGCCTGACACACTTGCTGACGCTGATGGTCACAACACCCTTCACCGTTTTCACATCTTTGGTGTACTGCTTCTGGCTGCACTCCTTTCCCGAGGATTTGCTGATCAGAATGGCGCTGATGGCGTGCTCACCTGACAAGATTGCATCGTACTTCTTCTTGGCATTCTTGGTCTTGGTCTGGTCCTCCCCGAGAGTGTCCTTCCTGTGTTGGTAGAACGCATGGGCATCTTGCACTGAAGCATGGTAAGATGCAAGTCGACTGTTCAAAATCTTTTGCCACTGCTGTGGCAAGCAGCACCAACGATCTTCCTCAGACTCCCAGGACTCTGCATTGGATGGATCACCACGGTCTTGAATCTGCCACAAGAACGTAGTTCGATTGATGTCTGGCTGCTCAAACACCTCGTCAACTGGGACTTGCCACTCATTGTCCTCAACTCGCAATTCGCACTCCTCCATCTCTTTTGTCAGGGTGTCAATGGTGAGGTCAGGAACGTCTTTGTTGGTGGAAACCAGCTCTTCCTTTGACATCATCCCTCGTGAAAGCCACGCCCACCTGGAGAAAGTTTCACTCTGCCCCACCCAGTAAGCAGAATGGAGGTTCGCTGCTTACTGGGGACATGCACAGACAAATATAGGTGTATATAAATACAAATACAAATATATGAAATATATAAATATATCTATATATATATATGTACACACTCTTAAATCTTAGGTCTAAACACAAATCACTCACACTACGTCACTACAAATCAGCTCTCTCACCCTGCCTCAGCACATGGCGTGACTTCCCGAGACGCTTGAAGCCATACACGCAAGCCAGGCAAGCTTCTTCGTGTGAAACGGAAAGGTGACGGTTCCCGTTGCTCATCAACAGAGGAACCTGGCTCGCTCTATCCACTAGCCGCCCACGGTACCCCAGAATCGTGTCCATGTATGTTGCAATGTATTTTCTGAGAAGCGAGTGGATAGCGTCACAAGGCTGACCTCTGGCGCTCCATCCGCCAGGCTGCCGCTGTGGCAGCAACACCCGAGATGTCTCCGACCACATCTTTCCTTGCAAGGCAAGAGTATTTTCTGCAAAACTGCTGTATACACAAGGAGCGAGAGGTCCCCACCCTTCCTATCTTGCCAGCGTGTGTTCTCTCTCTCTATACGCATACAATATTTACAATTAAACACCCACATATATAATATAATATATATATATCAATAGCTTTCAAACATATGATGTCTTCCCAAAAAGCCATTGACAATCCAAAGGGATCAGAATGATGCAGACCTCAAGCAATCTGCTTACTGCATCCCTTCCCTGTAACTCGCGCCAGCCAAGTCACTCTGGATGTCGACTCCTGCTTGCGAAGAGTGGTGCCCTGTAAAACTGTCACACAGGAGAGCTCCCCACTCCGATTCGAATGAGCGCTGGTACCTTTCTGCAAGCTGCGTCCGCCTACGCTCAAAGGAAGGTGACAGGACTTGCTCGAAATAGTCCATGACCGTGTCGCCATTCATGAAATGGCTCTCCCTCTCGGTGCAGATGATGAAGAGGCCTGGAGCAAAGCGAGACTGCAAATCCAAGATCTTCTCACTGGACAGGAAGCCAGAGGGCAAAACCAAGCACAAAGGCCCACACTCGCCGTTTCCCCACAATGATGTCACCATGGTCATTGCATGGCGGGCGCCATCAATGTTGTCTGCTCTAGCATCTTTGCCTGCCAAAGCATCATGGAGGTGTCAAACAAAGGCCCTCTCTCGTGTATGCAATATTATATATAACAGGTGTGGCCCCATGATGGATGGAGAATCAGCAGAATCACACGTTATATACAGTATATATATTATATATCCTTGCAGTGCACACAGTAAATCAAGTCCCTGCCTCGTACTCTCCGGCGCTTGGCGTCCCATGATACTTCTGCATCCCCCTGTAGCGCTCTAATCTGCTTCTCCACTGCATCACGCTTTCCAAAGAGGTTAATGTTGGCATTCCCGCGGCAAAGGACTTTGTCAGGATGCACATACGCACACTTCCATACTTGGTCGAAGTTCAAGCACAGATCAGCTCTGATTTGCTTATCCATCCTTCAAGGGCATTTAGCAGAAAGGCAGTCTGCTTACAGCATGTCTACTAAAACAAACAAACAACAACAAAAACAAACAACCTTTTTGCACAAATGTCCCCCCACCTGACAAATTTCCAAGCTTTTCGCGATTGACACATTCGCTGATCATCATATTCAAGGTATGCCCCCATCGTGTTCGGGGATCTTCTCAAAATGCCCGAGCTTTTCAACAAACGGTTGACCCACTTGGTAGTCACCTTTGCCTTGCAAAGAGGGACGTCAACATTGTGCTCACTGGCGACCTGACTTTGCGCTTCGTTGTACTTCTGAAGAAGTGCCTCTGCTTCCTCTTTGAGCTGTTTCGTCGCTGCAGTTCCACAAGTGAGCTCCGAATCTTTTCCTCCACAACTCACGCGCTCCACAAGCTTAATGAGACCACTTTTCACAACCTGTGGAATGTCCTTCCCAGCAGAAAACCTCATGCGCTTGTTGAGTCCCAACGGCTGCCTAACCCAATCAGGCAACTCCTTCATCTTGCGATCTTCAGCCGACATCTTCTCCCAAGGAATTTGGTCCCAGCACTGCTCCTTGGACTGGACCATCCACCTCCCAAGCATGCCCGATTTCATGCCAGTCCGCCCACGAAAGATATCAGGAAATGTAGCCATCACCTTTTTTTTCAATGCCTGTTTTCATGCCGCTTTCTATGAGGCGGTCTGCTTCACGAACTGCCAACATTTTCTGGTATATGCTCACTCGATTTCTTGTTGGTGGCCTGAACCTCTTGGGTCGACCATCTGCCTCTAGTTCTCCTTCAGACTCAGACTTGTTCACTTCCTCTTTCAATTGCTCTTCCTGAGCAGGGTTACCCTGTAAGCAGATGGAAATCAGGTGGGCTGCTCTGCCTACAGCAGTTGTATACTCAAGTAGTTGGCATAACAATGTTCTTTTTCTTTCTTGGGAGGTTGGGTCAACAAACATCAGCAAAGCGGCGTCTACAGGTCGCGAGCAAAAAGACCGATACTATATATATATATTAATATATACATAAACAGCTGGCCCCGCTCCTCTTCTGCAAGCACGCACTGTTGATCAATCGCATTGCATTTGTCGATATTGCTGTCTGAACCTGAACTGGTCTCCTCTCGTACTACCATCTGAAACTGATTCTGCGGCGTGTGACAGGAATCATCGCCGCTGCCGCTTTGGCCCTTCTCAGGAGTCTCCTGACAGAATCTGAAAACCAGAAGCAGCTAGCAGAGCTGTTGTCTGCTTACTGCCCCACCAAGTGATGTGTGGACAGATGTATACATAGAATACCGGTGTGCTTTCAAAACATAGCCTAGCCAAAAAATATAAACATATATATATATATGTATATCATTGCTTCTGCCGCTGACTAAACGGTCCTTGTCCAATTGAGAGGAACTGTTTGGGTAAGTGCTCGACTCGCTCCCACTCGGCGCAGACATAGCCTTGCTGCTTGTGGAAGATGAGAAGCCGCAGCGCCTTCTCTTGGCATACTTCTGTCCATTGAAGGTATGGTCAAAATTGCTCGACCGATTCAGTGTCCTGCCGTTGGCCTTCATTTTCAAGGACATGATGCTGGCCAGGAGTTGGCCTGCTTCTGTTGGGCTTCCTGGAACTTGCTTCAAATTGGCCTCTTCCAAAGCTTTGGTTGCCAGAGGCAGCTGTGAAGCAGCGTTCTTGAAAGCCTCCTGGGCGGCATTCAGATCAGTGGCAAAGGCGCCCATGTTCTCAATGAGATTCTCAGCGAGGATCCCCAATTCCTTCTCCACTTCCTTGTAGGCAGTAACTGAGAGAGCATCCCGAGACAGTAAATTTTGCGCTCGTCTGGATTCATTGTTGGCAGCCTTTTGATCTTTGGGGTTCAGCTTGTTGGCTGCTTTTTTGATTGCCTTCGCTGCATCCTCCTTGAAGGTCTCGAACTCTGAAATTTCATGAGTCAGCAACTTGGCATAGTACAAAGACTTTGTTCCAGTCCACAGAACATCAGGCTCCAGAGTTGCAACGTAGTCGGTATGAACCTGGCTCTCACCTTTCTCAAAAGCTGCCAGGCCTTCCTGAGTCACTTGATAGAACGATGCACGCCTATCATTGCCGACCAGCACTGTTACAAAATCGGGGCCAGTGAGCTGCTGGAACATGGCAGACAAGGCAAAGTCCTCAGTGGAGAAGATCTCACCAGGCTCAGCCGCAGGCTTGACAATGAGACACCCGACCACATCATGCTCCTTTGACTCCCGTAGCAGCTTCAACTCCTCAGAATCAAAGGCTTTGAAGAAGTCGCTGTGGCCATTCTGTTGGTCTTCCCACTGGGGTGCAAACATGCCCTTGACAACCACAATCTTGGACTCCACCACGCCAAGCAAAAAGGCAAAGGTGAAAGCCGGACTCCGGGGGAAGGCAAAGTTATTGAGATGAGCAAGGCACCCGCCGGAGATTTGGACATCTGGAGTGCGATCCTTGCGCTTCAACCACTCCCTTCGTTCCTTTTCACGTTCTTGAGATGGAAGCAAATGGGCAGCCGGGTCCATAACTTTGACACGCTGCCCTTGAAGCAAATCCTGGGATGGCAAGCGGATACCGGAATGCTTGCTGCACTTGTTATTTTTCCCCTTCTCCTTGCCTTTGGGCAGCGATTTAGCCTCACCCTGTGAAGAAGTTGACACTTCTTTTTGCTTGGTGTGTTGCTTTGCTTTGTGAGTGCTGGCTTCTTTGCTAGCTGCTGGTTCTTTTTGTCCTGGCTTGTCATGCTTGCTAGGCTTTGAAGAAGTGGAAATGTCCTTTTGCTTGGTGTGTTGCTTTGCTTTGTCAGCGCTGGCTTCTTTGCTGGCAGTTGGTGCTGCTTTTTCTTGCTTGTCATGCTTGTTTTTCGTGCTCGCGCTGCTCGTGTTTTGCTGGTCTTTCGTGCCTTCATCAGTCACCGTCTCCCCCTCTGCTGGCAATGGTCTGTACAATGCCCGACCAACTTGGCTGTCAAGCTTCAAGAACTTCACTGGCAAAATGGGCTGGACAGCAGAAATTCTGTGAACCACAAACGGGAAGGGATACGGTGGCTCATCGCAGGAAGTCTTGCTTTTGATCATGTCCCACTCATCAGCATTCACGATGTGCACAGGGTGAGAAAAAGTTGCCCTGCCGAGGATGGTATCCTTCACACTCATGTACAAAGTTTCCTCAGAGCATGAGAACACCCAGTAAGCAGAACATGACCATTTAGGTGAAGAGAGAAGACTACCCCACAAGGGCAGTAGGCAGAGTGAATCTTTCTGCTTATTGCTCCTGTTAAAAAAGCAGCGACCCAAAGGAAATACAATAAAATCGGATGCTTTGCGGCTCATGTGCGTGGCTTTAATGCTTTGCGGCTTTTGCGCGTGGCTTTATATTATATATATACATCTGTGCAGAACTACACCATTGGTTTTCCCAGTTGTCCTTCAAAACCAGAAACTGTTCTGTCAAACCCGGTCCAACCCTGGCTTGGCTGAGCCCCTCGCTCTAGCTCCCTTCCCTTATGAAAACTCTATCAAAATCCAAAGGTTTTCAAAATCACAAAGGGTCGCCCTCACACAGACTCAGACCCTGCCCCTCCTAATAGTGGGGGAACTGAGAAGGGAGACCCCGAAAAGACATATTCTATGACCCCTACCCCTAGTAAAGGAGGGACATCACTAAAAAGCCTATAAAAATAAACACTCTCTAGCAAAATTGTTTTATTTTCCCTTATTAAAACTCTATCAAAATCTTAAGGTTTTCAAGCTCACCAAGGGTACCTCCCACACAGACCCTACCCCTCCTAATAGTTTGTGATGTGTTGTGATGTGTGTTGCATGCTGCAAGCTCCCTCGCTCCAAACTCCTACTCCTCCACCTCCAAACCCGCGGTCTCCACCTCCAAGCTCCAAGCCACAAGCCGCTTTGACCCGAACTAGGCCTTCCTTTCTCTCCTTCTTTCCTTCTTTCCTTCTTTCCTTCTCTTCTTCTCTCCTTCTCTCCTTCTCTCCTTCTCTCCATCTCTCCTTCTCTCCTTCTCCTCTCCTCTCCTCTCCTCTCCTCACTCCTCGTCATGGATCCTCTTCCGGGTTGCGACAACAGTGCATGCCAAATGGGTTGCATCGCTTCTTGTAGTCCCAAAGCAATCGAGTGATGTGTTTCAAGTCGGAAACGCATCCCTGTCCCAGTCAACCATTTTCGGGTACACCATTGATTTTCCAAAGTGCTCTTAGGAAATTGTTTTTTATTTCGTTACAACACTTAAAACTTCAAGGACGATAGGAAATGAAAAGGAATTTGACCAGCAGAGTATCTAAAAG